ATAAATCTAGGACTCAATTTACCACGAACACCAAACCTCATTACTCTTTTCATAGGAGACACATTAAGGAACACATGGTCTCCAACCCCAAACACCAAATCGCGTCTCCTGTTGTCTGCATAACTTTTTTGTCTACTCTGTGCAGTGCGAAGTTGCTCTCTAATAAGATTGATCTTGTCCACTGTTTGTTGCATAATCTCAGGCCCTAACAACTTTCTTTTGCCTACATCATCCCAACAAATAGGTGATCTACACTTTCGTCCATATAAAGCCTCATATGGTGCCATCTGAATGCTCGCATAATAACTATTATTATAAGAGAATTCCACTAAGGCCAAATGCTCATCCCAAGAACCTCCAAGATCATTAATACAGGCCCTCAACATGTCTTCAAGAGTCTGAATAGTTCTCTCTGACTGTCCATCACTTTGAGGATGAAAGGTCATGCTAAAATTCAAACTAGTATCCAAAGCTGTATGCAAACTCCTCCAAAACATAGATACAAATCTGCTATCTTTATCAGACACTATGGTCACTGGAATACCAAACAACTTCACAATCTCCTTGATATACAATTTTGCAAACCTCTCTAAGGAGAACCCTACCATAAAAGCTAGAAAGTGAGCGGATTTGGTCAATTGATCAACAATAACCCAAATAGCATTGTTACCACCTTAGGTCCTAGGCAACCCCATCACAAAATCCATGGTAATATATTCCCACTTCCACTTGGGAATAGGAAGAGGTTGTAACTTACCTGTAGGTCTCTGATGTTCTACTTTCACCTGTTGACATACCAAACCTTGAGCAACATACTGAGCAATTTCCCTCTTCATATTATTCCACCAAAAGTTCATCTTCAAGTCTTTATACATTTTAGTGCTCCCTGGATGTACAGTATATCCTGAACTATGAGCTTTTCTCAGGATTTCTCTCTTGAGCTCTAAATCATTAGGCACACACAACCTCTCTCCAAATCTCAAGGTTCCATCTTTATGCATACAAAATTCCATCTGTAGCCCTATTTCCATTTCAGCCTTAAGTTTTGTAACTGAGGATCTTTTCCCTGAGTATCTTTAATTCTATCAATCAATGTGGGTTGAACTCTAAGGTTTGCCAACTGCACTCCATGGTTATGCCATCTAATCTTGATATTCAACCTTTGCAAGTCCTCCAAGATATTCTTTTGGTCAGTGATCAAGGTAGCCAAATTACTCAGGGTCTTTCTACTCAAGGCATCAGCCACTGCATTGGCTTTTCTTGGATGATAATTGATAGTCAAATCATAGTCCTTTAATAGCTCCAACCATCGCCTTTGCCTCATATTCAATTCTTTTTGAGTGAAAATATACTTCAAACTTTTATGATCAGTGAATATCTCACATTTCACCCCATACAGGTAGTGCCTCCAGATTTTTAATGCAAATACCACAGCAGCCAACTCCAAATCATGCGTAGGATAATTCTGCTCATATGGCTTCAACTGCCTAGACGCATATGCCACTACCTTATCATTCTGCATCAGGACACAACCCAAGCCCATCTTCGATGCATCACTATAGATGGTAAAACCTTCATCTCCGGACGGAACTATAAGTACTGGAGCACACACCAATCGACTCTTTAGATCTTGGAAACTCTTCTCACAATCATCAGACCACTCAAATTTAACCCCTTTTTGTGTTAAACGAGTTAAAGGCATAGAAATTCGGGAAAATCCCTCAACAAACCTTCTATAATAACCTGCTAAACCCAAGAAGCTACGAATTTCAGTGACACTAGTAGGCCGATTCCATTCCACCACCGCCTCCACTTTCTTGGGGTCAACAGACACCCCATCTTTAGATATCACATGACCCAAAAATGATACACTCTCCAAAATTCACACTTCTCTTAATTTAGGGCAAATAATTTCTTCTCCCTTTAATAACTGCAACAACTATTTCTCCAGATGTTCTTCGTGCTGCTATTTACTCCTTTGAGTACAACACAAGAATGTCATCAAAAAAAACATACCGCACATTCATGAATGAACTACCTAGCGAATGGGTTTAGAATACTTAGTACTGTTTTTCAATAGGATTAAATCAATAAAAGGGGGCGCGGATTAGCCATGAACAACGTTCTGTAGAGAGAGACGACACAGAGGACAGATGTGTATATTCGGCGAAACGGTAAAAGAGAGTACTTCTTAGCCAGTTAAGAGAGGTGTGATAAACGAACTACAACCAGTCTCATCAGAGTCTCTGCGTTATATTCTTCACTTCTCTCAACATATCACAATTAGCTGAAGTCAACCGGAGTGTGAGCGAGTTTGTATATCTAGCTGCCTTGCTATGACAATACTCAAGAGTGGAGACAATTAATTGACAGACGGTGGAAATTGTATATTATTATGTTATCTTGAGGAGTGATCTAAATGGCGCGTGATGATCCACACATGGTGAGAGATCCATATAATATCGCACACTTGTTCTATAAGTCTCGATTAACAAATGAGATTTTCGCGAGATATTTATTTTGAATTGTCCTTGTTTAACTCTCGATAATCATATGCAACGGCGAAACTACCATCCTTCTTTTTCACAAAAAAAAACTAGGCACACCCAAAGGAGAAACACTAGGCCTAATAAAGCCCTTATCTAGTAACTCTTATAATTGTTCCTTTAACTCTTCCGCCTCCGATCCTGTATCCATAATCTTAGCACGATCTCTGCTTGAGTCACGATTGTCCGATTGTTATTACCAGTCGTCGATGTCCGTATGTTTGACCCTGCGTGTATTCCTAGCCATATTTGCCAATGTCTCCTCATGTTCCATTGCAACCTATATGCATCAATAATAAAACCTCATCTTATTCTATTCTAAAGTCCCTATAACACGTAATAAAATTAACATTTCAAAAATTATAAGCGTTCCCAATACTACATCTACCCAATCTCACCACTATTTTATACCAGCCTTTAAATATACAACCTGGCTCTGATACCATAAAATTGTCACACCCCAAGCTCCGTGACAACGCCGCACACTCATTTAAGTGAGCATGCAAGGCTAAGAGTCCAACACATAACCAACAATGTAAAATATTCAAATTAAATCCTTAAATATCATAATGCTAAAAACCATAAAAATAAATAATTCTTATCATATGAAATTATCCACCAAGTCCACTAATATAATCCACTAACAAAATAATAATCCCAGTACTTAAATCATAGTCCTACTCTCAGCATTCCCACAAGTAAAAACCCCTCTCAGCTCTACTCCTCAGAATCTGAAAAAAAATAAAAATAAAATAAGTGTAAGCTAGACAGCCCAGTAAATAACCAACCACCACTGCTAGTTGGATCAAGTATACCAAAAAAAAATAGTCGATAACCAATATATATATTTTTTGCTACCATTCAATAAATGAATAATTATTTTGTTAGATTGTTTTGTAGTTGAAAATAAACAGTGTAGCAATACATTTTAATTGAAAAGACAATGAGGTAATTCAATGAAATTTCGTTGTTCAAAATTGATGGTTCGATATTCAAATGGTTCAATGATGCAATTCACAAAACCCAAGTCTTGGTGACTACGGTCACTTAGCCCGTGACAAGGCCCAGAACCACACGTAGGCCGGTGGTAAAGCCCCAAAAGAAACTAGTTTCTGTGCCAATAAATAACCCCCATTGGCTAGGGTCCAAATCATAGTCAGACTAGAGTGATGTTCAAAATTCAAACAATACACAACTTTCAAATAAAACATTCGATATTTTCAGAATAAATGTTTAGTACAATTTTCAAAATAGTTTCATCAAATATTCAAATAATTTTCATAATAATATTCGATGTTGTTTTATACTTGACCCATATTTTATTTTAAGAGAACATGAAGGTTATAAATAAATATTTATGATTTTAAACGATTCGATACGAATGAAAATGAACCAACAGTGATAGAGGGTTACTTACCTTCAAACAGCTAAAATAATATTTTCCAAGCTAATATCAATTTACCAAGATCCACCTCAATCTCACAAACCTAATAAAATATTACACCGCAAATAAATTAATATTTTTTTACATGTTACAAACACCCACAAAAGCACCATTATATTAGATTAATGTATTACTTTAATATCCAAGAGATCAAACCATTCAACCCAACTTTATAGCCAAACACACCCTTACCCATGATACAAAACTCTATTGTTTCTATTACCCACCCAAAGTTACACTTACACATTGCACCCAATTCTCAAAACCTAAGTAGGCACCTATAGATCTTCCAAATCTCCTTAATGCATTGATTGTTAAATTCCTTAACATAAACTTAATAATTAACAGTAAAGACAGATTTTACCTTAACCAATGGGTGTCCCAAAAATCACCAACGTGCTGTCTTCAATCCCTATTGTAGCCTCACTTGAACCTCTCTTCTCTTTTTCTTTTCTTTTTTCTTTTACCTTCTCAAACCCTAGCCGCCTATGGAGCAATTCATAGCCTCTGTTTTGTTTGTTTTCCAAGACTTAAAGCCACAATAGGTGGGCTTATTAACCTAATTTCTCAAAGTTACAAAATTACCCATCTAAGTAATAGGAAATATAATGCCATCTCATAACTAATTCTTTGATATTAATAAATGACCCATATAAATTAATTTAACTACTAATCTATCCAATAAAATAATCCTACACACAACTTGGGTTTTACAGGTTATAACTAAAAAAAAAAAAAATTATAATCAAACATCACGTGAAGTATAACTAACAAAATCATAACCAAAATAATGTTATGACCAATAATATCGCAATGTATCATAACTAACAACAAAATGCAAAATTTATTAATTTGTCTATTTTCCCTAAATGAATTGTCTATTTGGCATATGTGTATACTTTTTCAATGTGGAAAAATAACCATTGACTAGCTGAGGGATAGTTCTTCAAACTGGTAACACCAAAATGCAAATGACAAATTTTACAAGATTTGTAAAAATTAGAAGCAAGGATCAACAACAAATTTATTTTTTTATTTTTTTGTTTTTAAAACTGAACCAAAATCCAAAAAACACACTGCTACCAATCCTAATGTAGAAACCAATTGCTGTAACACTACTCATTCACATCACCAATTTTTAACCCTTTTTTATTTCATCACTTCAAAATCCAAGCAGAATTTTGTGCCATTCATTCATGATGAGCTGAGTGAGAAATGTTTTAGGCAGGGACAATGTGAGCATCTGGCTCTGATGCTTCATTTTTCTTGGCCTTCCCTTTCTCAAGCAAGTAGATTCTTTCTGCTTCAGGTATCGCCAACATGATCGTGTTCAGCTTCAAATTCAACTCTTCGACCTTTTCCATGAGCCTGTCATTTGTAAACATGCCAAGAATGACGCTTTGGATCGTTTGCCAGCTTTCTGTCAGTGGCAAAACTATAATTACAGCTGATCCAATTGTACCCCATGCTATTGCTATGATTGCCCAGAATGTGAAGTACCCTTCGCTGAATCGCCCTGCAATGACCCAACAACAAAACAAAACAATAAAAAAGGAAGAAGAGTTCAATCAACTCACATCTTTCATTTTCCAATTTCCATTTATGTAGTGAAAATTTAAAGTTTGTTACTTGTTCAGCAACAAAAACGAAAGAACAAAATAAAAATGTTGCTTATCAAACTGAGGTAACATATTATCGGCACAAAATGACACTTCTTCAATTGATATAATCTCAAAAAGTTCATATGTAGAAGTTGGGAATGAGTTTATGGTCAGTTCAAGTCTTGGTGATGAATTTTTCATTTTAATTTTTGGTAGTGGCTTCAAAATAGAAGGATTAAGCATTCATGTGCTATTATGGAAATCGAAGCAAAAAGTGAATATCAGAATTTTGAATTTACCTGTGAGATTGGATTACAAGGAATCAGAACGAACAGAATGAGTTGCCAGCTAATTGCTGAAAGTCCCTGGCCTCATTCTGTCCATTCTCAAGGCCTTTGGTCTGATTCCTGGTAATCCAATCTCACAAAAATGTGAATATAAAAACTGTGAATTCAAACACTGGTTATTGAATTTACCTGCAGGAAGAGAAAGAAGGGGCCACAACAAAACAATCACAACAGTAAAACCAACACCCCATTTCACAATCCACGCTTTCGCTCTTATCAGCTTTTCCTCCTTGAACTCCTCAGCTAGCAATTCACTCTTTTCCTTCTCAACCATAGTTATCTGCTTTGTCGTATCCCAATCATAGTTTTGAGGCCACAAAAAACTACACACAGCATGAATTGCTCCACCAGTAAGTGTGGACACGAGGTTTCCAGCAAGCATCGGTGCATTCCTTCCAGTCGTGTCAAGATTGACCCTTCCATACTCAACACTCGCAACTGACAACCAAGTGATAATCCCAAGAATGCAACCAATAGTCGTCCCAAGGATGGCACCAATCGCATTTGCTTTTCGCCATAGAAGCATGAAAGCTATGGGAAGGACGGCAGAGCCAATGAAGACTCCCGTGGCGAGGTACATCCATCCTAATGAAACTCCAGCCTTGTTTAGTATTACTGCTAAAAGTCCCATGAAACATCCAAAGCCTAGGATGACTCCCCTTGACACTCTGAGGATTTGCTTTCCAGTTGCATCCGGGTTTATGTAAGTGCGGTAGATGTCATAAGTGCATAAGGAAGAGACTGCTATTAGTTCTGATGAACCGGCAGACGTCACAGCCCTGTTTTTCATGTGCCAGAAAATTCAGTGTTTATAACAGAATACTGAAATATTGGAGTTTCAAGATTTAGTACATATTTGAACAAAGAAGAATGAATTGGCCAGAATGTGGGGATTTGAAAATTAAATTGTCAAAACTTCGCTCAACAAAATTTCAAATTCAACTGATATTTGAATAAGATGAAAGTTTAGTATTGCACATTTTAGAAGCCACAAAGTCTGAAATCTTGAAATTATGGTACTCGATTAAGTTTGAGTAGTAAAATTGTCCAAAGTAGTAAATGTAAATGTCCAAAATTCTAAAACCGCTGAGAATAAAAATTGAAAAAAATGGAATGCTAGAACTCAAATGGTGATTGTAAATATAAGATCACCAATTGGCTTAGCTAATTCGGTTTTGAGGGCCTTCAACTGATATTGGGGATGACACTTCAGCATATAACTTACAAAAACTCTACCAAGCTTCATAAGAGTATTGATGTACTTTTTCATCTAAAAATGTAGTCTTACTACACTGATATTAGCAAGATCATGGTCTATATATAATGCTCAATTCATGTTAGCTACAGTTTTGAAATTGTTAATGTAGCATTGCTTGAAACTCACATAAAAAGCATAGTAAGTAGAAGAATAGATCCTCCTTTTCCCATCAAAGCAATAGCCGTTGCAGGAGGAACAAGTCCATGACTGGCCTCACTTGCCGTTATAGGTAGATCAAGGGCTAGTGCTCCTAGACCTAGTGACGTTGCCAGAGAGAATGGCACAGCAAACCAGACCAACCCGCCCAGCAAATAGCCCTTATGAGTTGATGAAGGCCTTGCAGCAATGGCACTTACCCAATATCCCTACACATTCAAATATTCTTTGTTACTTAGCAATTGAAGAATGTAGACACAGGGCCAACGCTCACTTACATTGTCGACAAACACAGTACCAAAGTTGCCGACAATGTTAATTATCCCGAAGACAAGCCCTCCAGAACTCAACATTGTAAGGTAAGAGCCCTTGTAATTCCCACTAACTGGCCCACAAGACTGCCCATTATGGGTGAGTGGCTCTTGGCAGACTCTTGATTTGCTTGCAACCTCAAGCAGACGATGGTATACGATACTTGGGCTGCCAAGCCTACTGCTTGATGTGTAAACTAAGTACACAAACACGACTAAAACAACGTGCACTGAAACCAAAGACAAAAATAATAGAGCTCATATAAGCACCAAATGTAACTGGAAAACAAGATTACAATATGAAGAGCGAAAATACCTATTACTGAATGTATGTAGCTTGCCAAGAAGGTGGCTTTTAGCCCCCCTGCAAGGGTGTAGACAATTACGCCAAGTGGGATTAAAAAACTTGCAGCGTAGATGTTCACTCCAGTGAGTGCATTCACGACAGCAGAGCCACCAAGAAGAAGCATGGCCGTGACAATGATGTTTGTCAAGAAGCAAAAAGTGAGAAATACAAGATGAGCAGCGGTTCCCCATCTAAAGTAATGGAAAGATAGCCATCAAATTCAAGGAAATGAAGTTTTTCAACGAGTAAAATGATTAAAGTAGCTATGGCACGTTCTGTGTTTTGATTGGAATCATGACAACTATTTGACATACCGAGCTTTCACAATTTCACATACAGTATGAGCATAGGGAGCCTTTCTTTTGATCTCTATTGCCATTACGCCAAACAAGAGTACCTGTTCAATTTAGAATTACCAAAATTATTTATTGCAAAGTATCTGATTTCCTTCTTGTGGAGACAAAGAACTTAAGAACAAAAACAATTGAGGAAAAAGAAGAGTTGACAATGCCTGGATGGTAGCCCCACTGGCATACCAGAATGGGCCACTAACTCCATATTCCCACGCAACATTTGAGCTTTGTAAAATTGTAGCAGCCCAAGTCCACTTTAGAAAACAATATTTTGAACCCATTTGTTAGGTGAACATAAAGGTATTCCAGATTTGCAGAAGTGGGTGAACTGAGCACATTACCTGAGATACAATCACACTAGCAATCAGTCCTGTTTTAACATTCCTGCCTGCAGTGTTGAACCATTCTGATGTGTGGCGCGACCCAACATATCGCTTCTCTAGCCAAACCTGGCAAATTAATTCATAGTTTGTTGTTTCAATTCAAACAAGCAGCAATAATGGTAAAGAAACAAAAAGATAATTCACACTAGTATGGAGTTTCAAATAGTTGTTACTTGTTAATGATCATACTTGTTTGGGAATTCAAATAATTGTTAATGATTCTATGTGGAAGGGGCACTCTCAAATTATTATTCATGTAAAAGGTCATATAATGGTCTTGGTCATTACCATCTACACTTCCACTAAGCTTATCCTTCAGTGAAAAATAAATGCAACTCCATGAAGCAGGAGAAGATTTTATGATTTTATGAGGGGATTTTTTAGGATTCCAATGGTTAAAAACTTTTCTACAAGATTCTGGATAATTCTAAATACACCCACAAAATTTCTCAATACACCCATTTTATGAGACACAATTCCCCAAATAGTGTGTTTATTCGATATTGCCACTAATTACAAGTGTGAACCCTATGAACAATAATAGAGTGTAGAGAGATAGAAAGAGGGTAATACCAGAAAGGAGGTGAAGACAGCAAAGAAGGCCCCAAATCCAAGAATAACAGAGTACCCAACACCTTGATTTAAAGCTGCTTTCCCTCCAAAGAAACTGCTCTGTCTCACACAACTGCCCCCCGTGCCGGAGTAATACTTGGCGGCGAACTCAAACGGCGGACAATTTGGCAGAGAAGAAGCCATGAAGTCACTTCTCTTCTCCAACTTCAACTGTCAGAGTCTGGCACTCTGTTTGTGTGGAAATTTATATAAACATAGAGGAACTGAACTGCTTTATTGTGACGGTATACACAATATGGTTCGAGTCAAACTATGAAAGTGTGTGTCTCATTGCTTGCTATGAGAGCCATGTCTTGGATGGCACTGATGCTTTCAGTGGTCACTCTCTTGGCTTTGAGTTATATATATATATATATATGTATGTATGTGGCATGTCTATTATATATGTTTTGTCACACTTGAAAAATAGAATTTTTTATTGTCCAAATTAGGTTCTTTTAATTCTTAATTCAGCTAGTTTTATATTTTTTCATGTAGTTTTACTTCCATGTTAATATTAAAGAATCAAATTACTATAATACTTGTCATTGAGTCAATTATTACCGAAAAATATCACTGAAAAATACATGGGGTATGAGATTCTTTATTTTTTTGTTTTAATAATTCATTCTTAGCCGTTCAATAAAATTATAAAATTCTTGTATTTTAAAATTTTTATTGTTAATGTACACCTCCTACACCACTAAAACCTACCACTACCACTACACACCTCCACTACTCCTCACCCACTCCACCTACCACCTCCACTTTACCTACTACCACCACCCACTCTACACCTACTACTCCCAAAACCTCTCTATATATAGGACTTGTAATATACAGATACATATAACAATACAACAATCTTGTAACAACAAATCAATCAATAATACAATATTTTCTAACATGGTATCAGAGCAGGTTTAGAACCTACTATTTTTCGTTTAACCGGCGGGCGGCAATCTCGCCTTGGCCGCCTGCCGGACCTCAACCTAGTCCACTCGAATTTTCTACACATACCTTGAAATTTCCCTCCTAGTTTCTTTCTCTGGTGCAGACATCTCTGTAAAAGTCGGTGTGTGCTACGGCCAGCTGGGGAACAACCTGCGGTCTCCGTCGAAATCCGTAGAACTCAGAGCCAAGCGAGTGAAGCTCTACGATGCAAACCCACAAATCCTGAAGGCCCTGAAAGGCACCGATCTCCAGGTCTCAATCATGGTCCCTAACCAGCTCCTCCCCAACATCTCCACTAACCAATCCTTAGCCGACGACTGGGTCCACACCAATGTCTTCTCTGTCTGTGTCATCAATGGCGGTGAGGGCAACAGTGGCTAGGTTTCCAATGGACCCAGACGCACTGGAGTCTTCGGGGCTGCCGTGGGGGGTGACAATAACGCCGTTCGCCGCCAAGGACGAGAGCGGAAACCCTCCCCTTTACGGATCGGACGGCCATCTTCTGCCGCGGTGCGAGTACTGCTGGGCCTACTACAACACCTACTGCGAGCAAGAACAGTGGGCTTGGACTTGCTCTCTCTGCGGCACTCTCAATGGCCTCTCTTCCCAGACTATCTCTTTGCCTCTTCTCTCTCTCTCTCTCTCACTTTGCACCCACTCTCTTTTGCTGGCCTCTCTTTTCCTTTCTTTTTATTTTATTATTCACTTCCACTATTTTCTTTTCTTTTTTTTTCTTTAAGTAAAAGCCAGTGTATGTCTCCCCACCTTCGTATCTTTTATCTGCAGCGCCCATGCTTTCCATTAAAATATATTCTCTGTTCCACCGCCTGAACATCCTCCCCCACAACAATATATTCTCTGTTCTCTTTTTCTATTTTATTTTATTTATTTATTTTTTTTTTTATTCTTATTATTATTAAACAACACCAAAACCATTCCCATATACCAGCGCCCATAGTTTCCATTACTATATTATTCTTATTATTGTTATTATTCTTCAAAAAAAAAAAAAAAAAAAACCATGTTTACACACTATTTTTTTGTAATTGAGGGTGTTTGTATTTTTTGTTTCTAAAAAAACCAACCAAACGGATTTCTGAAATTTTTTTTTGAAAAGTGATCCTGGAAAAAGACAACCAAACACATTTCTGAGAATTTTTTTGGAAAACTTTGTTTGGTTTGATTACTCCTAGAAATGTGTTTGTAGAGCATATTTCAGAAAAAAATTTCTCAAACACAAACCAAACAAGCCCTAAGTGTCTTGAATACTCAGATGTTTTAGAATCCTCCATGTTCTCTTCAAGTGTTGGGAATAAGTTTTCCTCCATGCCTCATCTCTCCATATCTTTCTATACTATCGGATTTTAATTCGAACGGCAATTACTTAGAAGTACATTTTGTGCAACAGCCCTTCCTATTTGATAGAAAAGGATCCCATGATCCTGAACCAATCTTACCTGGGATCGAAAATCCCAAGTTTGTCTGTGAAGAGCGGATCTAATTGTATTAGTATCTATAATTGATTTATTCTATGTAATACTAATCGATAGGGCCTCATTGGTAAGTGCTACAAGATCTCGTGCATTGGAACCCATGGTTATGGACCCGAATCCATTAGTATGGAACATTTTCTTTTCCAAGTGAAATCCCCTAGTATATGAAAGAGTGAAAAAGTGCTTTCGAGTCCTCTTCAAGGCATAATATTGAGAATGCTCGTTGAATGAGCAATTCAATAAGAGAGCTCGGATCGAATCGGTATTGATATACCGATTCGATCCGAGCTCTGTCTCAATTTTGCTCAATTTTAGAGTGTATTTTGCATCCCATTTGGGTGGTTCATATTTTGAGATTGATATGTGATGGGTTAAGTTTAATGGTGGTGTATTTGTGGGATACACGATTGACTACAAGCAATTACAAATTGTTACGTGTATATAAACAACAATAGAATAATATGGGTTGAGAATTTCCGAAACCGTAATGGCTTTGTTTTGATGCTAAATTGTGGGAGTTCCTAATAGACTATTGGGTTAATTTATTCTATTGTTGTTACAAGAAGAGATGGATGGATGCACATAATAATTGTTTATGCGGTGTAATATTTTATTAGGTTTGTGAGATTGAGGTGGATCTTGGTAAATTGAGATTAGCTTGGAAAATATTATTTTAGCTGTTTGAAGGTAAGTAACCCTCTATCACTGTTGGTTCATTTTTATTCCTATCGAATCGTTTAAAATTATAAATATTTATTTATAGCCTTCGTGTTCTCTTAAAATAAAATATGGGTCAAGTATAAAACAACATCGAATATTATTATGAAAATTATTTGAATATTTGGTGAAACTATTCTGAAAATTGTACTAAACGTTTATTCATGAAAACTTCGAATGTTTTATTTAAAAGTTGTGTATTGTTTGAATTTTGAACATCACTCTAGTCTGACTATGATTGGACCCTAGCCAATGGGGGGTTATTTATTGGCACAGAAACTAGTTTCTTTTGGGGCTTTACCACCGGCCTATGTATGGTTCTGGGCCTTGTCACGGGCTAAGTGACCGTAGTCACCAAGACTTAGGTTTTGTGAATCAAATCATGGAACCATCTGAATATCGAACCATCGATTTGAACAATGAATTTACTTTGAATTATCTTGTTGGCTTTTCAATTAAAATGTATTGTACATTGTTTATTTTTAGTTATGAAACCACCTTATAAATAATTGTTGATATATTGATTTGTAGCGAAAATTATATTTATTGGTTATCGACTATTTATTTATTTATTTATTTTTGTATACTTGATCCAGCTAGCAGTGATGGTTGGTTATTTACTGGGTTGTCTAGCTTACCCTTATTATATTTTTTTTCAGATTCTGAGGAGTAGAGCTGCGCGGGATTTTTACTTGTGGGAGTGCCGAGAGTAGGACTATGATTTTAGTACTTGGTTTATTTTTTTGTTAATGGATTATATTAGTGGACTTGGTGGACAATTTTATATGATAAGAATTATCTATTTTTATGAATTTTAGCATTATGATAATTAAGGATTTAATTCGAGTATTTTACATTGTTGGTTATATGTTGGACTCTTAGCCTTGCGTGCTCACTTAAATGAGTGTACGACGTTGTCACGAAACTTGGGGTGTGACAGAAATTGAATTGCTTTATTACGACAGTATACACAATATGGTTCGAGTCAAACTATGAAAGTGTGTCTCATTGCTTGCTATGAGAGCCATTTCTAGGATGGCACTGATGCTTTCAGTGGTCACTCTCTTGGCTTTGAATTATATATGTATATGTATGTGGCATGTCAATTATATATGTTTTGTCACACTTGAAAAATAGAATTTTTTATTGTCCAAATTAGGTTCTTTTACTTCTTAATTCAGTTAGTTTTATATTTTTTCATGTAGTTTTACTTCCATGTTAATATTAAAGAATCAAATTACTATAATACTTGTCATTGAGTCAATTATTACAGAAAAATGTCACTGAGAAAAACATGGGGTATGAGATTCTTTATTTTTTTGTTTTAATAATTCATTCTTAGCCGTTCAATAAAATTGTAAAATTCTTGTCTTTTAAATTTTTTATAAAATTGAATTGCATTGAATACCTATAAGTTTATTGGCATTAATTTGGAATCGAGGGTTTGATTTCTTTCATCTCCTATCTCATCGGATAAGCAATCTATGGAATTACCTCAACCAACCATTGGTGTGAAGAAGAATAGTCAGGAAATCGGTTGGCGTGGTCTTTTGACTGTTAGTGATCTTCCAAGTCAATGCATGCCTTGTCCCTATTGGTGCAAAGTTCAAATATTGAGAGTTGTGATATATTCAATCAAATTTAACTTTTCAACGGACAAGGAAGAAAGTGGTTTAGGCGGTGGTTGTGAAGCGGCGGTGTCGGTGATATCCAATGCTGTCTTTGCTATTTTTGAAACGGAAGTCAAACCTCACAAGCTGGGCCATTATGTGCTATCCAAGAGCCAAAGGCGTCCTGGTCAAACCAAGTGAGTCCTGAAACTAACAGGAGAAAGAAATTGATGGTTATGAACTTGTAAAAATAGTTATGGCAATTTGAGTAGGATCAAGTGGTTTTAGACATGGCATAAGTTTATTTTTTTCAGATTCAGGGGGATTGGAACTGAATATTTTTTGGTCACTATGTCTTATGAGTATGGTTAATAAAAAGGGTAGTGCCATAATCAATGGGGTTACCTGTTAACCATTTCATTAGGATGTCAAGAGTCAATTTTGCGTGTGAGATTTTAGTTTTATTTGGAGGCTTGGAGTTTATATATAACTAGTGGAAAACGTGTGTTATACACAGGATTTTATGTACTGGATTTTATAATTTAATAAAATAAAATAGATACTCTTATACATATGTAACAAATAAAATAATTCATAAATAATAATTGTGACATGATTTGGGTACCATTTCTTCACATTAGGCTATCGTGTTCTATGTTTTTTAATGCCACCAACCTTAGGCCAAGTTTGGGAACCACATAAAATTGTTAAAAAATCAAAAAATCACTACAAAAAAAATCATCTCTTTCCTCTACTTTTTCTATAAGTGTTTTCGTAAAAAATCAAAAAATTATTCTCTTCATACCATTTGATATTCGTTTAGAATAATTCTATGAATACTGACACT